CAGCGCGGGCGGAGCCTGGACGGCGGGGGCGGGCCGCAGCCGGCTCGATCCGGAGCCGCTCCGTGCACACGGGCCCCGGTCCTGCGCCACCGCGCGGAGATCCCCTCCTTCGCTCTCACTTGCACCTTGGGGCGCTCCGCACCCGCAGGGGGGACCGCGAGGAGGAGGGCCAGGGCAAGCCCTCAGTGCCCTGCCCGGCTGGGCTTGGGGACCGCGGCGGGCCGGCCTGGAGCAGCAGGGAGGAGCTGCGCAGGGCACCGGCTGCACGCCTGTGGCATCAGCGAGACCGGGAGGCTTCTGTCACCTTCCCCCACGAGCAGGGGCGCTCGCCACAGGCGCCATGCGCCGGGCATCGCGACGTACATCTGGGACCCCCGACTGCTCACCCCGTGGCGAGCAGGACCATGCACCGTGCATCACAACACACTTGTCTGGGACCCCCCACTGCTCACCCCGTGGCGAGCAGGACCATGCACTGTGCATCGCTATACACTTGTCTGGGACCCCCCGTTGCTCACCCCTCAGTGAGCAGGACGCACTCAAGGACACAGAGTGCGGGGCTTTGGAAAGGCAACGCTTTACCCAATGCTCTCGGACAGCAGGGAGGTCTCAAACCCCATGAGCCCCGCACCAACCACCCGGCATCGTCCCCCTCGCCCAGTCTGGCCTCACGGGAGCAGGCAGGATAGAGCAGTTAGCCCCTGGAAGACGGCCCGGGGACTATTGGCTTGACCCCAGCTGCAGTGGGGGAAGAAGAGGGCAGGATGGTTCCCTGGAGCGTGGCTGGGCCGTTGGAACGGGGAGGGGGGAGTCCTTGTTCCAGTCCATCAGCTAACGAGATCCTAGAAATGAGACTGGGGCCAGGCGGTCAGCAGGTCTGAGACAGGCCCATAAGTGAGCACCCGGCAGCTTTCAGAGGTCTGGGTGCAGCAGTTCCCACAGGAGATGGAGACAGAGCTCAGGCAGGAGGAAGGGACACGGGCTTCGCCAGGCAGCTGGACATGGTTCACCCAGCTCCTTAGCTCCCAGGCTGCCCCAGCCCATCCAGCCGGCTTCCCTGCCGAGTCCTGAACCAGAAACGGGTGCGCTGCAGGGACCTCTGGGCAGACACCAGGGGGTCAGCTAGGCACCGTCCGGCACGGCCCAGCAACGCCGAGGCTCAGAGAACGGCTGCTTTGGGACATTGCCATTAGCAGTCTAGGTCCTAAATGAGAGGACCCAGGCAGCCGTGAGCCTGGCGTGGAACAAAGCCCCGTCGGGTGGGAGCTGGGACAGGCTGGAGGAATGTTCTTGGGGGAGAGGAGGACCCACGAGCCACGTTTCACCCAGGCCACGCGGCAGGTGGTAGCTCTGTGGACAGCAGGATGTAGCCCCGTGGACGGCTTCACTTGTACTTGGTAAGGGCCCCCAGGGGCGTGCAGGTACCAGAGCGAGAGATGAGCATCTCATGGATCTGGAGGAACTCGCTGAACGTGGCGCCGTGGATGGTGTCGGCCACGTGCATCTGCCAGTACCGCGCCGGGTTGGCAAGGCTGTCGCGGCTGGCAATGGGCGGCTCCCCGGCAGGGCCCGAGAGCGGGGCTGTGAGCTCGGCTTTCCAAGCAAAGCCTGTATTGCAGTGGGTGCAAGCACAGGGCAGCGCCACGCCGGTATCTGCATGGCCCCTGCCACGGCCAGCATCAGGCAAGGTGGGCACGTGGGTGTCGCGGTGCCGCACCAGGTTGCCCTCGTGCACGTAGCTCTTCCCGCAGTCCGGGCAGGCGTGGGGCGGGCGCGGTGTGTGGGTGCTGCGGTGCCGCACCAGGTTCTCTTTGCGGGCGAAGCTCTTGGGGCAGTCGGGGCAGGTGAAGGGCTTCTCTCCCGAGTGCACACGCTGGTGCGACAGGCAGGCCTGGCGCGTGCGAAAGCGGCGCCCGCACTCCCCGCAGCCGTGCCGCTTCTCCCCCGTGTGCAGCTGCCGGTGCCGTGCCAGGTTGCCCTTGCTGCTGAAGGCTTTGCCACAGTCCCCGCAGGCCAGGCCGCCCACCCCCGCGTGCAGGCGCCGGTGCTCGGCCAGCTGGGCCCAGCTCTCCAAGCCCTGCCCGCACTCCCGGCACTGGTGCCTGGGGACGGTGCACGGTCCCATGGCGGCAGGGCTCAGGGCTAGCGTCTCTGTCCCCATGCAGCCTCCGTTGCTCTTGGGCGCTGGGTGCAGAGTCCCTGGGGTGCCAGTGCCCTGGTGCTCGGTGCTGGGGGGCCAGGCCCCAATGCTCCTGTGGCCTGGCAGGGCTCCCTCGGGCCCCTTCCCCATGGGGCTCCCTAGAGCCCGGTGCCCTCTGCACTGACTGTGGCTCATGCCGACCCCCATCCTAGCCGCTCTCTCCGGGTCCTGCCACGCGTGCATCTTGCTGGGCTCCAGCCCCACGGTCTCTTCCTCCTCGCACCTTCCCTCGTCTTTGTCACCGCCTGTGAGGAGAGGACAGAGCCCAGCTGTTGCCCCACATGCCGGGACCCCAGAGCCTGCTGGGAGCAGCCGAGACTGGGGCAATGCCGCAACCCCGGGGAGCAGAGCCTGTCCCTGGAGATGCAGGCTCATCCTGAGAGCATCTTCCTGCCCTGAGCTGCAGAGGCAGGAGATGGAGCCACACAGGAGAGCTCCTGTTCAGGGACCCCTCAGCTTTTCTGGCAGCCCTGGCACCACTCACCCGTGCTGGGGGAACCGGCCCAGCATCCCTTTCTTGAGTCCAGCGGATCTGCGACGTACGGCTCCTCCCCTCGCTCCAGCCTGGCCACGATCTCCGGCTTCTCCAGCACTGCCTCTGCCGAGGAAGAGCCGTGCTAGGCATGTGTACGAAGCGCATCGTGCCCCGCTTCCCCACGCCCATACGAGCTGGGTCTGGGCAGCGCTGCCCTGCGTACACCTGTGATGGACTCGGGACAGCACAGTAGGTTTGCATTGGACATCGAGAAACACTTCTTCACTGGTAGAGCAGGGAGGCAGAGGTACAGACGCTAGGGAAGCGGGGGACTCTGCATCGCTGGACGGGTTCAGGGAGAGGCTGGACAGACGCTTATTCGGGGATGATCTAGGCCTAACTATGTCTATTTTCTACCATGGGGATTTCCCAGATTTCTGGGCTTTTCTGTGCCCCTCCCCTCTTTCTGCTCCATGTGTCAGGGGGGGTTTGAAGCCTCCCCCAGAGGCACTGGGTGCAGCCCAGGCTGGGACTGGGGCTGGGCTGTGCCAATGCTCCTGCTGGCACCAACCCCGCAGGGTCCTGGCTGGAGGGTCTTGGCCCTGTGCTCAGGCTCAGCCCCGTGCTGCACTGGGGACAGAAAGGGATCTCCCCCTTGCTCAGACTGGTGCGCACTGGGGGGTTTTTCCTTCCTCTCCAGTGGGGGCATGACCTTGGCCTGGGCTCTCTGCAGCATCCATGAGCCCCTTTTGCTGCGGTAAGACGTTGGTAGCCACGGCACCCCTGCTTTCTGGGGGGCAGGGGCAAGTGCCAGGCTTTGTGCTTGTGTCAGGGGTGACTGTAGTTTTGCTAAGAGCTTGGACAAAGGATGGTTTGGACAAAGCTGATCCTGCCTCAAGCAGGGGTTGGGCTAGATGTGACCTCTGGACTCCCTTCCGGCCCCACTTTCTGTGATTCCTGAGCTCATATTATGATGCTGCATGCTTCAGTTTCCCCATAAAAAGCCTCCCCCAGAGGCACTGGGTGCAGCCCAGGCTGGGACTGGGGCTGGGCTGTGCCAATGCTCCTGCTGGCACCAACCCCGCAGGGTCCTGGCTGGAGGGTCTTGGCCCTGTGCTCAGGCTCAGCCCCGTGCTGCACTGGGGACAGAAAGGGATCTCCCCCTTGCTCAGACTGGTGCGCACTGGGGGGTTTTTCCTTCCTCTCCAGTGGGGGCATGACCTTGGCCTGGGCTCTCTGCAGCATCCATGAGCCCCTTTTGCTGCGGTAAGACGTTGGTAGCCACGGCACCCCTGCTTTCTGGGGGGCAGGGGCAAGTGCCAGGCTTTGTGCTTGTGTCAGGGGTGACTGTAGTTTTGCTAAGAGCTTGGACAAAGGATGGTTTGGACAAAGCTGATCCTGCCTCAAGCAGGGGTTGGGCTAGATGTGACCTCTGGACTCCCTTCCGGCCCCACTTTCTGTGATTCCTGAGCTCATATTATGATGCTGCATGCTTCAGTTTCCCCATAAAGCTAGTACAGGGGGAAGAAGCAGCTCAAGAGACAGTGAAGCAAGAAGGGTGCCTGTGTGTGGGATGTGTCTGGCAGCCACAGAGGCCTTAATAGCTCTGTCAATGCCCAGGAGGGTGGAGGGAAGCAGAGGGACACAACGACAGCCTGGACAGGGCAGTAAAAGCCAAGTGGAGAGAGTCTGGGGACAGCACACGGGCTGGGCAGGGGACAGACGAACATCTCAGCCCGCTGGAGGGGGCAGAGGACCAGCTCCAAGGAGTCACGAGACGCCGGGGTCCCCGAGAGGAAGGGGCGGGGTCCCCCAGGCTCTAGGAGCTGCGCCAGGGCTGGCTTTGGGAGCGGGGACCACACAAGCGCTTGCGTGGAGGGGCTCTGTGATCGCAGCCCGCAGCCGCACCGTCTGCTGTCCGGGCCCAGGGGATCCTCACCCATGGAGGTGGCCAGCTCGTAGTTCTCCTTCATGACGTCCTGGTAGAGCTCCCGCTGCCAGTCCACCAGCTCCTTCCACTCCTCCGTGGTGAGGTAGACCGCCACGTCCTCGAACGTCACCGGCGCCTGCAGCACAGGGCATGCCCCGCTCAGACCCCCGGGACCATCAGGCATAGCACGCACCTGGCCAGGTAGCAGGGGGAGGCTCCAGCCAAGCTTGCAGGTGTCGAGGACAAACCCTCCTTCCGCGGACAACACCCAGACCAGAGCCAGCACCCAGACACCCCAAATCCTTCCTGCAGCGTGGCCTCATCTCCGCAGCCCCACATCGTGGGTGCACAGGGTCCTGCTCAGCCCGTCCTGCCTCCTTCACCCCAGTCCCCTGGCCAGGGCTTCTCCCTCTGAGCACATGGAGCCCAGGACCCGGTGGGGCGCAGGGAGGAAGGTAACAACGGGCTGTGAAAGCAGCCAGCGAGCCACGGGGCTCCCACAAGCCACACAGAAAATCAAGCTGCTCCCAGACTCATGCCCAGCGAAGACAGGCGCTGGCTGGGGGGGGCTTCGTTTCAAGCGCCCTGCTACTCAGAGACCCGATGCATCTGTCTCCAGTGCCCCCCCTCAGCTTGCTCCCCCCTTCCTGACCTCTCCATGGGGGCTGTTTCCCTGTCCTGGGGGCATCAGGTCCGTCATTCTGGAGTACTGGTGGTCCCAGGCACGCGGCGCCTTCTCCCGCTTGGCTCTCTTCACTGACGGCTTCAGCTTGGGGCCTGCGGGGCAAGAGATGCGTGTGCTTGCCCCTGCCGTCCCAGGGCCCAGCTGCCCCCCACGGCAACAGCTAACACGCACACCCCTACGGCATCAATGCCCCCCCGGCGCCCACCCCAGTGCCACGGGAAGGGTCCCCCATGCCGAGGGACACGAGGCTGGCATCCGAGCCCGGGGCCCTCACCCAGCGAGGCGATCAGCTCGTGGTTCTCCATCATCACGTCGCGATACAGGTCCCGCTGCCAGTCCACCAGCTCTGCCCACTCCTCCGGGGAGAAGTAGACGGCCACGTCCTCGAACGTCACTGGGGCCTGCAATTAGTCAGCCGGTTAGCGCAAACACTGATTAGCATGTAAACTGCTCAGGCTAGGCCTCGCCGGAGCCACGACAGACACCCGAACGGCTCACACCCGCCTACGCCGGGCTCGGGGAACGAGACACGGTGCACGGCGCTGCCAGCAAGGGGACGCATGGGATGGGGTGATGCTTGCGTGGTAAGAGGAGCACGCAGAGGTGGGACATGGCAGCCCGAGGTGCCAGGGGAGTGTGCCACGCAGCCTCTGCGAGGAGACCGACTTGTGCCCGCGACGTGGGTCGTGCCCGAGACAGGCGCCGGGCCGGCGGGACCCCAGCAGGGTCGGGGGAGGCACTCAGGAGGGGAAACCCCCCACGGACACCCCCGTGCGCCAGAGGCCGCCGGGAGCAAGGGGACCTGGGTGGCTGCAGTCAGGCGTGGCATTTCTATCCAGGCGGAGGGGCACCCGGCCTGGCTACAACCGAGGCATCCCTG